ATTGATGTGGCAGTATCCCTGTAGTACGCTCTTGAACTAGTCTTGTATGTTGTAGGATAAATCTCACTCAGTCATGATTGAACCTATTATTTTTTAATATTAACAATAAAATTAATTTTAGGTTAGATTTTTGGGTGCTAAAAATTTTTTTAAAACCCTAAACAACAACAAAATCAATAGCTCCTAAGAACTTGTTAAGAACTTCTTAGAACAAGCAATCCTTGGGGAATTTTTACATGTCTTAAATTATCAGAATATTTGTATACTTTTCAGAGACTCACCTAAGAATACATTAGCACACACAGCTAATTTAGTGCCAGTGTTTTATGATTAGATTGGTATAAAACTGTCTTACAACAGGTTACAAAATGTCCTTGTATATTCAAACTAATCATACAGCAAAGAGGGAGAAGAAACTTAGACACACTGATAGGTGTTTCAAAAATTATTTTTATTGTTACATTCCAAAGAGGACATAGGAAGAAAAAAGCCAGTTATCCAATAACTGTTATACTTTTCAGAGAGGCACCTAGAATTCCAGTCCTAGTTCAAAGCTGCACACATTAGAACTTAAACCATTGCCTCTCAACTGACCAGAAATACTGACCAGTATGTCATCACTCCAGGGAAGCTTGGGTTTAAAAGATAATTTCTTTATTGCAAGTGTCCAAGTCCTTAGCATTTGTCCTTAAAAATACTAGGAGAATATGAGGAAGACCACACACACCAAGACTATGTTTAGTCATTAGAATAAACTAGCAAATGGCCAGTTTGTTCTAGGATGCATTGCATCAGACATCACAGTACAGGAAGAAAATCTGCATTTTTGTGAAGAGCTGCCAGGCATTCAGATCCAATTTACCATAAAATGAAGCCACAGGCCAACCAAATACCAAGATTAATACAGTCAGTGCAAAAGTCAAACGGGTAAGTCAGCACTTTGATGAGGCCAACTACACTGGAAAATATTCATGAAATTTGAAAATAAAAGGTAAGGTTTATTTACAAAAGTTTGTTTGTAAAGTAACTTGAGAAAAGTTGGGTCAAGCACTTCCCACATATCCCTCCCCTCTCCCGCCAAAAAAACAAAAACAATAAAAACAAAGAACACCAGAAAATTATCTTGAAAATCAAGTTAAAACTATATGGTGAAAAAGAGAGTGCTTATTTTAGGTAAAGGACTTCAAGATAATTTATAGGCAGATATAATTTTATTAGTAAAAGTCAAAGTAGGAAAAGGCTTATTGACTGACTCCAAACTGTGTGCTTTTAAAAATGTCTCCATTAATATGTTAACCAGAAAAAAAATACTAAGCATGTTTTTGCTTCCAATTTTGAGTCTTCCAGCAAGAATCGGTGAAAACAACAGGGTATTAAAACAAAACCCAGGAAAACTCAGTCAATTCTTTTCAGTTGTCTGCCTTGTGTCTTTCTAGTTACCTTGCATTCGATTTCCAATTAGCTGAGGACAACATGTCGGTCAAAGACAGATTTTCGCTGCTCTTGTACTTGAAGTTTCCAACGCTGCTGGGCATATTCCACCTTGTTTAGAACATTGGCTCGACTGCGGGAGCGGGCCAGCACATCATGGGCATTTGCAAAAGGCTGGTGATCCTGCAAGTCCAGATAGAGAACATCAGAGATGACAAGACCAGTGTAAAATATACACAAAACAGCAGTTAGCTAGCCACAGAGATGGGAACAGGTGAATTTTTCAATAGAATACCAGTCCTACTTCAAAGCTACACACATTACAGCTGTGTGACTATACACTTCTACGCAGAAGAAGGATGAAATCTATGGAAATAGGTGGTTTAGGAGACATAAGTGAGAAGGATATTTGTGAAACATTTCCATGGGTCACATTTTCCAAAGACATTTCCCTTAAGAAGCAGAGACCAAGGCAAATACAATGGTCTTTTTTAGTATTTTTTAGTTGTAGATGGGCACAATACCTTTATTTATTTATCTTTTTATGTGGTGCTGAGGATCAAACCCAGTGCCTCTCCCATGCTAGGAGAATGCTCTACCACTGAGCCACAACCCCAGCCCACAATGGTCATTCTTGTTAAAGAGAAGTCTTCCTTGATTAGTAGGGCAAAGGAAGTCTATTTTCATATCCATATCTCTGTGTTACTTTCCTTGCTTTAATTAATACTATAAAAATATCTGTGACAAAGGAAATATATCTTTAAATTTCCTGACTCCCATTATATTAAAATTATTTATTTGCCTGCTTGGGGCCGCATTTGCCATGGCAGATAAGTTGACAGGATCTTATCTTGATTGGTTTAATATCTCCTTATACTCTTTTTTTAAATATTTATTTTTTAGTTTTCAGTGGACACAACATCTTTATTTTATTTTTATGTGGTGCTGAAGATCGAACCCAGCGCCCCGCGCATGCCAGGAGAGTGCACTACCACTTGAGCCACATTCCCAGCTCTCCTTATACTTTTAACACAAACTAAACAGGTAGTTTTAAAAAGTTTTCTCATTTCCCCCTTCTCTACCCTGTAATGAAAAGAAAAGAAGTGCTATGATTTCTTTCTATTTCCAAGGAATATGAGGATTGATTTACTTCAGCATCTCTATTCTACAAAGACTTGAATTTTTCATTGCTGAGCACCTAATGGCTTCCATGTTAGTTACTGTCTTACAAAAGAGGTATTAAAGGGTTACCCTTTCCTAGCCAAAGTAAACTAATGCAACTGGATGTTTGTAGTCATTACACAGGAAACCACCATATTAATCTACCTATGAATGAGATATAAACACAGCTGCCTAAATGACAAAAAGCATTCAATAGTAATTTATTGTTTTTGTTTTGCCTTTTCCTTGATCTCTTTTTCCTGAAACTCCTATTAGCAAAGTTTCTAAATATTCCAACACAAGATGCAAGCAAGTCACAATTCAGACCTCTTAAACTAAGTTTTGCCTCAAGGAAAGAAACAACATTGTTCTGCTATGCATGTCTAAAAAGCTATATTATATATCTAAGGCAGGAGTCAGCAAGTATTTGAAAAGCTATGAATAACACATAACTATATGGTGTCATGATACCTGGTCTTGTTTTCATAGCACAACATTTAAACCATGTCTACATGCTCAAAGAGTTTTCTATAAAAAGAATCTTTCCTTGCCTTTTTTTTTTTTGGTACTGGGGATTGAACTCAAGGAAACTCAACCACTGAGCTACATCTACAACCCTATTTTGTATTTTATTTAGATTTAGTCTCACTGAGTTGCTTAGTGCCTCATAGTTGCTGAGGCTGGCTTTGAACCTGTGATCTTCCGGTCTCAGCCTCTTAAGCCACTGGGATTACAGGTATGGGCCACCGAACCTGGCTTTCCTTGCCTTCTTTATCCAAATATCATTTACTTTTCACTTAATGGTAATGGCTTGTGCAAATCTCATTTATTTTTTATTTTTAATCTTACAAATGAAAATAATAAAGACAATCCTATAAAGTCCAAATTTTTTCAGTTTGAAAAAGAAGGTAAACACAAAGGAAGGCTAAACTTATAGGTTTACTTGATTCCCCATATGGAAATAAACTAATCCAAGGTCATTTAACAAATTAGCATAAACACTAAAATTTAGCTTGCCTAATTAACTAGATTTGATGTTAGATCTTCTCAATACACATATTTTATTCAGGTAGATTAAAATGACACTATAGGAATATGGTGTTTCAATGAACTTGTATATCAAATATTATAACCATTGGCTTGTTTTAACACAAATAAGGCTGGGAAGAAGGATGTACTTTATCAGAAGAGCACCCTGCAGTTTCACATTCATGTTTTCTACTCTTCATGGTAAGGGGAGAAAAATCTTCTTAAGGAACATATTCAAAAGACTAAACAAACTAGTTAATCCTTTTGTTCTGCTCTCCACCTATCAGAACAAGATTGAACTAGCTGCTTGTGGTCATGGATGCTGAGAGAATGCAAATACAGGAGATTTATCTTTTTCCTATGTTTGTTCTTTTTACACCTGATAAAATTACAATGAATACAAAACATGTTTTAATGTAATGCTTTGATAATAGTGATGATGTGTCATGGATATATGATACAGTAAATATTATGACTACTTGCAATGAGCTTCTTAACTATTTGTACTTTTATTTGCTTTAAAATGTTTTACACTGAACAAAAATGAAAACTAAGAATTTTTAAAAAGCATTCTTAAAAGTATATAAATAAGGAAAAAATTATGTCTTGAGTCTAACAATTATAGGAATTTACTTGTTTTTTGTGTGGAGTTGCCATAAATTCATAGCTCTGGTCAGAAAACCTCTCCCTGTCGAGAATTAGTTTAACAGGTATCCAAGGGTCAGCCAGGCCTCTCAGTGACAATATTCTCCAATTAATTGGGTGTGATTTTGCTCCTTACCCAGGGACATTTAGCAATGCCTGTGAACATTTTTGATTGCCGTGACAGGAATAGCAATCATGCAGCATTAATCTTCTAGCATTTAGTAGATAGAAGTTAGGGATGCGGCTGAATATCTCACAATAAACAGGATATCCTTTCGCAACAAAGAATTATTTGACCCTAGATAGCTAGTCAGTGTTGAGAAACCCTAAACATGGAAATAGTATAAGGGGCTCTAATATTAGTTTCTAACATACAACATCTGTTTTTCCAGCTTTCCCTGTATTAGTTCCATCACTATGCTTAGGTTTTGACCACATCAGATCTCTAGTCTTTTATCCCAGCCTGTCAGTCTCCTCCTGAAATTCTTTTACAGTAAATATGTGTTTCTTATATTAAAAATAAAATGAAGGGCTGGGGATGTGGCTCAAGCGGTAATGTGCTCACCTGGCATACATGGGGCACTGGGTTCGATCCTCAGCACCACATAAAAGTTAAATAAAGATGTTGTGTCCACTGAAAACTCAAAAATAAATATTAAAAAAATTCTCTCTCTCAAAAAAAATAAATAAATAAAATGGAGAAACCACTATAGTCATTTCATTTACATCTTTTTATTTTATTCATCTCTTTATCCCTAGTAACAAGAACAGAATATTTAACTCATTATCTCATTATATGTTGGTCGAATAAAAACACCAAGGGAAAAAGAGGTAAAGAGAGGTGCTTTTATGAAAATTCTTGCCAAAAATAAATAAATAAATAAATCTTGCCCAAATAAGCTAAATATTTGTAATTGATACTCATGAGACAACAGTTTATTGTTCAAAAAGCAGGCTCTGGGGGCTGGGGATGTGGCTCAAGCAGTAGCGTGCTTGCCTGGCATGTGCGGGGCGCTGGGTTCGATCCTCAGCACCACATAAAAATTAAAAAAAAAATGTTGTGTCCACCGAAAATTAAAAATAAATATTAAAAAATTCTCTCTCTCTCTAAAAAAAAAAAAAAAAAAAAGCAGGCTCTGTTTATAGTTACAACTCAAATCATCTAGCCAGGTTCTCCTTTCCTAGCTTTTACCAACAGGTCCACAAAGGCATTCCAGAGTAAAAGAACTCTTGACTGCTTGGCAAGCTCACTCAGGCTTGGCTTTTAGAATTGATTGTTAAAATTATAAAGAATTTTATCTCTTTCAGGAACATAGTCCAATAAAATATTTCAATAGAAAAAGTAATTTCTTTTTTATTTTTTTTAATATTTATTTTTTTAGTTAGATACAATACCTTTATTTGTTTTTATGTGATGCTGAGGATCGAACCGAGGGCTTTGCATATGCTAGCGAGTGCACTACTGCTGAGCTACAACCCCAGCCCATAATTTCTTTTGTTGTTGTTCTTGTTTTGTTTGTTTGTTTTATAGTACTGGAGATTGAATCTAGGGCACTCGACCACTGAGCTACATTCCCAGCCCATTTGTTTGTATATTTAATTAATTAATTAATTACTTTTTAAGACCATTGTTGAGGCTGGCCTCAAACTTGTAATCTTCCTGCTTCAGCTTCCAGAGAAGCTGGGATTACACTGCCACCATTCCTATTTCTTTTTTAAAACATTTAAAATTTTTAGTCATAGATGGACACTATTTCTATTTTATTATTTGTGTGGTGCTGAGGATTGAACCCAGTGCCCCATATATTTGAGATACACCATTGAGACACAACCCTAGCCCAAAAAAGTAATTTCTAATTATATATAATAATAAAATAGTGGAAAATTAAAGAATAATCCCAAACAGGATAATGATAAATCAAACAATACAATTCTCTAAACTATACTGAATATCAAGCTATGAACAAAATCAACATCTAGATACTTTTAAATTAAGTAATGTTAAAATGAAAAGGAGACAATGCATCAATTTATACTGATTATGCCAACTATTCGTACAAATATAAATGTGTTTTAGAGACAGAAGGAGGAGGGCTTCATTTTAAAGTAACACATTATGGCTTTCACAACGATTTCGTCATAAAGAGATAGACACTAAAATTAGAACTCTCTTTAGTGTTTCAGATTGAGGATGTGTTCCATGTGCAATGCTTTTTTTTTGCTTCTGGGGGTTTAATCGTGGGGCACTTTACCACCGAGCTACATCCCCAGCCCTTTTAATTTTTTTCATTTTGAGACAGGGTCTCCCTAAATTGCTTAGGGTCTTGCTAAGTTGTGAGGCTGGCCTCAAGCCTGTGATCCTGCTGTCTCAGCCCCAAGCTGCTGGGATTACAGGAGTGTACAACTGCACCTGGCCTATTCATTTGCTTAATTTCACTTTACATCAGATGACGACAGACACTAGCTATGAGTAGCTAAGGCAGGCTAGAAACTTACCCCAACATCATCATCGCTTTGTATCAACTGTGAGTGTCCAAAGAGGCGTCTCTTCAGTATAGGCTCAATCAGGGTAAGATACACCATGTATAGAAGTAGAAGCCCCAAAATAGAGAGATAAATTATAATGGTAACCTAAACGAAATTGAAAATAAGTTACATTGCTAATCAAGCCAAGAAATCAGAATTTTGTCATGATAATTGTAAAGCCATAGTTAAGACTGATTTATCTGCCAAGCATATAGGATTTCTATACCAACCAGATTCCAATAAGACACAAACTCAAATCTTTACCAAAGTACTATTTAAGATAAAGGAGAAAAAGCATTTTGTCTTTGGGATCTTTTTATGAATCTTCAAAAACTTCATCTTCACTTAATACTAATACTTTGTCACCACTGCTAACATAGCAGTTTTTGTTGCTGTTTTTTTTTTAACCTGAACATAGTCTCCTAGAAGAACTCTTGCTAAAACAATTTAAAGGAATCGTAACAGAAAATGTAGTTCAGATAAATTTCAACAGGATACTCTTTTAGATCAATTTAAGTCTACAGAAACACTTTTTAGGCCACTGATTTTCTTGGGATATTAATCACACAAATGAGACACACACAAGGAAGGCTATAATAAAATAGAATAGACAATAGCAATTGTTGACAAGGATGTAGAGAAACAGAAACATCATACACTGCTGGTAAAATGGTGCAACCACTTTGGAAAACAATCTGGTTGACTGTTAAATTACATACAAGCTTACTACTTATGGAATATACCCAAGAGAAAGGGAAACATATATCTACATAAAGACATATACACAGATAGTTCTAACAGTATAAATCTGGAAATAACCCAAATGTCCATCAATTTAGGAGTGAATATTCATAAAATGGAACACTATGGCAGGTGCAATGGCATCTTCCTATAATCCCAGTGGCTCGGAAGGCTGAAGCAGGAGGATCCCAAGTTCAAAGCCAGCCTGTGCAACTTAGCAAGCCCCTAAGCAAGGCCCACCCTGTCTCAAAATAAAATATATTTTTAAAATAAAATGGAACACTCTTCAACAATAAAATAGAATAAAGTACTGATACTTGCTACAACTTATAAAAAAACCATGGGCTGGGGTTGTGGCTCAGTGGTAG